TATTGTAAAATGGTTTTTTTATATGTTGCACACCGGGTGAAAAGTCAGTCGTGTAACATCGACGGTCGCTCCTGTAAGGGATGATATGATGCACATACTGCGGAAAACGGAAATCGGTGCTATTGGATGCTGCACTGCTTGCTTGCAACCAACTAAAAGAACATTTATTTATAGCACTGACGTTTGACAAAAAATAGCCACAAAATTTATGCCATATGACGTAATTATGGATTTTTATTATTTATATATAGTAACGAAAAAACAAAGTATTCTTTTGAAGGCTATCCAAAATTTTTGATTTATGATATTGAATACATATATACGAAATATATGAACCGTTTATAATAATAATAATGTAAAATTATATGATTACAATTCTTCATGAACAGATTCTTTAGCAGCAGCTTTAGCAGCAGAGGGAGATGGTGTAGACGCGACTGGTTCTTTCTTTTCTTTCTTTTCTTTCTTCTCTTCTTCAGGAGTAGTTTTATTAACTTCGACCTTATTGCCAGCATTTTTGGTTATGAATTCGATAAAGTTTTCCAATGTCCTATCACCTGAATAATCTATGATTTCTTTTTCTTCTTTGTCACCAGCTTTGAAGAATTTGATTGTTGGAAAACCAGAAACTTTAAATGATTTTGAAGGAATGTCATTTGCAGTAGCATCAATTTTCGCGATTATTATCTTGTCCTTAGAGTTCGAATAAGATTGTCCTAATTCGTCCCAGATAGGTGCGAGTTTCTTGCAGTGTCCACACCCTAAATTAATAAAAGTTATATTAAAAATTATAATAATTAATATTTCATGACAAATTATTCTTGAAACAAAATAAATAAATAAATAAATACATGGAGCATAGAATTCAACAAGAACGTCTTTGGTCTTGTCGTATACAATTTCTTCAAATGTATCAGCTACTAAAACAGTTACTGGCCCATCATTAGTTTCTGGAATAGGTTCAGATTTGACACTTGCGGAAATTTCTCCTTTAATAACTTTTGTAACAAAGACTTGAATACTTTCAGTTGTAATTTCTTCACTTTGGTTGAATGGAAATTTCTGTTCGTCATTGGGATGTTGAATTCCAAAAGCAGGCCATTGTTGTTTCAAGTTAATGTTTTCAGCGTGTTGTCCGAATTTACTAGCATTGATGTATACAAAGTTAACTTGACCTTTGAAATTTTTGGCAACTGGCTCTATGGCTTTACCAAGAGAGGCACGATGCTCATCAGTCTCATAAAATAAGAATGCAATTGGTAATCCAGCATCAACGTATGAACCATAATTTTCAGGTCCAATTTCTCCCAATAATGGAACAGAGTTGGTCTTTATAAAGCTTTCTAATTGCTCTTTTGTGAATGGAGTTTTCAATACATTCTTGCCTTCATCGAATTTTTTATAAAGAACAACAGCTGGTGTTGTGACTTCAGCCTTGGTTGCTACTTCTTTTTGCCCTGTTTGTCCAAACATAAAATCATTACGTAAACTTTCGGCAACTGTATTAAAAGTATCGTGTTCGCTTTGACTTTCAGAATCCCAGAATCCAATAATTATAACTTCATCTGAATCTTTGAAGGTATCAAAGTTATCAATGGTAACATCCGAAACGGCCGGTAGAGATTGTCTAATGAAATATCAGTTTAAAAATTGATTAATAGAAAAAAAAAAAAAAGAAAAAGAAAAAAATGTAAACTAATATTTACTTTTTCATGTAACTTGTAATAAGATCACCTTTTCTACCGCCATTGTATTCTGTTGCGATACCATTTTTGAAAACTTTCAAAGTAGGGTATCCTCTAACTCCGTGTTCTTGACAAAGATCTTGTTCGGCTGTACAGTCAACTTTGGCAAGTTTGATATTATCTTTTTTTAGGGCGGTAGCAGCTATTTCATACTCAGGTGCTATTTATATAAATTTTCAAAAGTATTAATAAGTATATATAACAATAAGAACTTTAGACAGACAGTAAAATTTACCGAGTGCTTTGCAGTGTCCACACCATGGAGCATAGAATTCTACAAGAATTAATTTTTCAGGATTAACAGTTTCATTGAAATTAGCCTTTGATAAAGTAATCACATCTGATTCTTCTTCGGCTAAAACGAGGGACAAAGTAAGAAGTACTCCCACCACTATATAAGTGAAAAGATTTTTTTTGAACATGGTTAATTGAACATCCAAGTAGTAGTAAAATCCGCCTTATATAACAAAAATAATCGTGCCATTATTTGCGTAAAAATTGTTGTCAATTATTGATTGGATGATTACGGTAAATTTTAATCCCTAATTGTTATTATTATGTGTCATTAATGCATTGGTGGATTTGTCTGTCACATCGATTATTAATTTACTTGAATCCACATTGCATATCGGTGCATAACGATAATTTCTAACTTTACTGCAACAATGTCGATATGGAATGATCAGCTTTAACTGTGATTTGAACAATTAACGTTTTATATTAGCAGATCAAGATTTTAACTCTAAGTTATCTAGTAATCTCAAATAAGCGATTTACTTATTTGTTTTTTTTTTAGTGCGATAGCGTCACGCGCGTGTGACGCAACACATATTATTATTGGTCTTACTTTATATATTTTTATATGCTGGTATGTAGCAACCAATGCTGTTATGCTTAATATTGCAGGCTAACCGTTTTTTTATCTCGTTTAGCTGTTACTATTTTTACAATAAAAAATACTTTATATAAAACATATCAGTAGGGAGATACTTTTTGATGCACTTAATATATTAATTTGTGTGTAATGTCGGTTTAAATGCAACTATATATATAGTTTGTATATTGATTATAATAAAAAACGATTAATTAATAGAGCTGAACGAACCGATTTCACTTCTACTTAAAATCTACCACGAACGTATTAATAAAATGGGGGTTTTTTTTCTTTTTACCCGATGATCTATTCTCGGGATCGTCGTATGACGCTATTTATTAAATGATAGTTTTAAAAAAGCTAACTAAATTCTAATGATTCTAATTCTAAAACCATGTGCCAAAATTGAGCGATACAAATTTTTATAATAAACCGGCTGGTCAGCCAAATAAGATTTAAGAGTTAGATGTGAGCTTATCCTTAACAGAACAACTTATTTAAATACTGTACATCGATTAATTAAAGTTATTTTCGTCAATAAAATAAGAGATACTGGTAATAGTAAATATATATTACGTATAAGCTTTTTTTAAATAATAATAGAATGTATGTATGCTGATTCATGAGATTAATAAGTCGAATAGGAAATGGCAAATACTACGTATAAATTTAAGTATATAATTTACTTCAGTACTTCAATAAATCGATATTAAATCATTTTTAATAAATAAGTCTAAATACTGTAGGAGGTTATAAAGGACTCTTAAATAGTAAATGCTCAGATTTTTGATATAACTCTGATGATCACATTATTCTGTTATTAGAATATGACAGAAAAGATCTTCGGAAGACCAATTTTTATTTTATAAATTTTATAATAAATCATAAGAAAACACAAACTTTAAAGAGCTATACTACAAAATTTTATTAATACAACAGCTTTGGCGCTTTAAATAAAAATGACCCTAATCTTATTCTAAATAAAAAAGAAATTTTTGAAATTTGTCGATTTCTCTCTTTTTTGCAGCACTCAGCTCTTGTACATGTCAGAAGTGGAAATGGAATTTAAGTGGATTCGGAATTTCCTAGTTAAATTAGGATTGGGGTTAGGGTGTACATATGATAAAATCAACCCCGAAATGTTTTTTTTTAAATTCTGTTTCCACTTACACATATTTAATAGTTATTCGGCGAATAACTGAGGTATTTGCTGTATGCGATTTGATTGGCCGATTTTAAGCACCGAAGGTTCGGCCGCATACAACAAATACCGGTAAGGTGCCGTAGTGTTTATATTACAGCTGTTTTCATAAATTCTAGGACACCTAAAAATTTTCTCGTTTCCCGAAATCTCTTCCTATGGAGCATCTAACTCTTCGGAAAATACATCGCTATCTCCGGAATGAAGTTCCGAAGACAATGACGTGATTCCGAAGAGTTAGGT